ACCCTCCTGAGCAGCTTGGATTATAGGTGTGCACCGCCACACCCAGTTGTTAATTCTGTTATTTTTTCTGCTGTAAATTCAAAAATATGTGCTATATTGAAGTTTACTAGAAAGATGAATGATAAAACATAACTAGAAAAAAGTAGACAAGTGATGATAGACACAGAATGACAATTCAAAAATCAGAAAACCAATCAGATTGGATTCTCCTGTCCAAGGCAGCTTCTTGCTCTTTACCTGTTAATGATCCATCCCAGTAAGCAGAGAACCCAGACTCTGTGAATATCGGGTCACTTTTAAATTCTAACCACAGCTTGTTACTGTGAGAGATGATTCTTGGAGGTAGATTTGATCCACAGTATGTTCCCAGGGATGGTGAAGTTTCATAGCCTCCATCTCTGTGGCAGAATACAGAAATGAAAATTCATTAGACTATTGATAATACTACTGGATAGACATTTAACATCATTTAAACTGCAGGATTACAGTTTATTGAATCAGTCAACTTCTCTCAAAATGACTTTAAAAAACACAATTTTGAGTTTTCAATTTTGGCTTTGTTAAATAGCATTTGAATGATGTGATAAAGAATAACTATCATTTATGGCTGGCATGACATCTTGTATAACCACTTGCAAACTGAGAGAATGTGTTCAATCTTTATTTTCTCAAAGCCTCTGGCAAACACTTCAGAAAATATGGAGTACAGAAACCATAATTATTAACAGTATAAACAAGTATTGCTTACTTTTACAGAGAAATCTTAAATGTTTTCCTTCTAATATGGAAATTTTCAAAATTTAATGTATCATATTTGATATATTTGAAAAATTCTGGAAATAGTTATTTCCCTAAAAACTTTTTAGGGTCTTCAGTCTAGTTTATAATCTGTACTTTATTTCAAACAAACAAAACATGATGATTCATTCCACATTAGATCCCAATTATTAGTTGTTGTAAATTAAGAAAGTTATGTCATTTTAGCATGCTATATCAGCAATTTTTGCTTTAGTTTCTTACTTATATAATACAATAAAATTTTATAAATGTTGTAAGATTCCACATTAGAAATGACAAATAAAACATTTGATGCAGATATAAACCAAAATGATTAGCTTAATTTAACTTGATGTAATACAAAGGAGAGATATCAATGTATAAGTTCATATGCCTTCACCGTATAATTTTTGAAATACACTCTTTCATAATGCCAGGCAATGAAAGAAAGATACCTTACACTGACATCCAAAGGCCTAAAGTTTCTTTTTTGTATTTTTGGTACCAGGGTTGAAACCAGGGGTGCTTAATCACTGGGCAGCACCTCTAGCCCTTTTTTATATTTTATTTAGAGACAGGGTCTCACTGAGTTGCTTAGGGACTCGCTAAATTGCTGAGGCTAGCTTTGAACTTATGATCCTCCTGCCTCCCCAGCCACTGGGATTACAGGCATGTGCCACTGTGCCTGGGTTCCTTATTTATAATCAAAAACTCTGTGAAAACTTTAATATGAGGTTGCTATCCTGCCTTCATTTTTGTGATATAACTAGATCAAATGGACAGTAAATAGCCTAAAATTTAAATTAGAAAGTAGGTATAAAGAAAGTAGGTATTCAACAATAGCAAATATTTCATTTCAAAGTGGTAATACATCTGTTCTCTTTTTTTTAAAACATCTGACTTTCTTTTTTTTTTTAAGATAGAGAGAATTTTTAATATTTGTTTTTTAGTTTTCGGCGGACACAACATCTTTGTTTGTATGTGGTGCTGAGGATCGAACCCGGGCCGCACGCTTGCCAGGCGAGCGTGCTACCGCTTGAGCCACATCCCCAGCCCCCATCTGTTCTCTTTTCACGGATAAAAATCTGAAGTTTATTTCTAAACATTCCCTAAAAAAGTATTACATCAAAATAACCACTGACTTTTATGTACTTTTTTCTATTTCTTCTGTCAGGCTTCAAATGACAAATTTTATCTCTTTTAAGGAATTACATAGCATAGCAGGGGGCTTTACAAAGAATTTTCATGTATTTTTTCTTAATCTTTCCAGGAATGATTATTAACAAAGATAAATAATGTCAGAGATCATTGTGAAATAATTAAAGTGATTACCTGATTTCCACAAAATCTCCTATGCAATTTCCATTAATGCCTTCCTCCAAGGAGAAGTTTGTGAAGTGCAATGCAATCTGTTGATTGGGTTCCACTGTGATCCTATAAATGCATTCCAAGTTATTGGGGTAATTATTGGGGAAGTTTGGAGAACTTATCGTCCCAGAGGAATCTGTGTAGTCTTCCAAGCATGCTGTAAAAAGAAACAAACCACAAGAGAGAAAACAGAAAACATTACGCCACATTTATAATACATTCAGTAGGATATACTTCATTATTTGTGCCTATGTTCTTGATTTTCAGTAGGCCTCCCTGGAATGTTCGGATAATGATTTCATTTTGAAATGAAGTTTTTGGAATCTCAGAGGCAAAACAATTATTAGCGGCACACCTTAGCCACATGATAGAAATAGTTACATATATCTTGAAAGGGCTACTTCTCTTATCATGAGTGTTCTAATTTTTCTAGTCCATGGAAATTACATTAAAATTGGCTTCAATTTAGAAATCTCAGAAGGGCCTTAGAAATAATTCAGTTCAGCTCTTCTTTTCATAATCTTACTTTAAAATTGTTTCCACCAAAGAACGTATTCATGAGAAATAACAAAACAGTTTCCTCAGCCATGGAGTGAAGAGTAGAAGACACGGCTTGGAGACCACTGTGACCTTGAATCAAAGCTCTTTTCCACCATTGATAAGTTCTGCAAACTTGGGCAAGCTACAGCACTTCCCTGAGCCTTAGTTCCCCCATCTCAAAATTGGAGAGTTCTTTGTACCTCTGGAGATAAGTGTAAGAATTAGTAATAATGAAATTAAAGTGCTCAGTCCACCATGTATGTCCAATAAAGATAGTAATCATCATTATGTTTCAGGATAGAAGAGGTGAAATAAAGTATAAATCATGAGGAATAAGGTAAATTATTCATATAAATTATCTAGCCGAGTACCTGGAAAATGATATATCCTAAGTAAATATCAACTGTTCTAGTTGACTAGCTTTCAACTTTACCTGTGCATTTCTTCAGATTCTGTATTTAATAACTAATCCACACAGTTTCCTATGCTCTCCAATCTGAGGTATTTTATATTAAAAAAAATCTAATTTGGAGATTTTTAAAATGTATCTTCAATTGCATCCAGCAATGACCTAAACCTAGGGCTCAGGAATAGACAGAGGTCTCTGACTTAAAGATTTTGGGAAAGAATAAGCTACTATACTTTATTGCAAGTGAAATAAAATGAAGCTCTTTAGTTATGCTATTTCCCCAACTAATGCTATGTAATTGTATTCCGAAGAAAAACAGTCATCACCAGTATTGGGAGTACAAAGATGCTTAATAAAATATTATAGGTTCTTCTATCTATGTGTAGCCCTCAGGATAATGAAAATTTAATAAATATTTGGTTTTATTCTCTGTAAAATCAAGGCTTTACTTTATTGAAGGAATCCATAGTGATATTGAACCACAAAAGTTATATTCGACTCCCAAAGCTTTCTGTTCTATAGTCTGCCAAGATTTTTCCACAAGGGAGAAGGAAAGAGGAAAAGTCAGTGAGGAAGAGAGAGAGAGGGAGGGAGAGAGAGAGAGAGAGAGAAGAGAGAGAGAAGAGAAAAACATGTAGAGGTAGAATACTGAATATTTCAGATCAGTAATAAATATTAGTAAGATAAAAAAATCCATGGATCGAAAGGACATTCAATGAAAGCTATGACCAGGATCCCTGAATTAACACAACTGTCAGATCCACTGACCCCCACACAGAGAAGTTACAGCTTTAGCCAGCAAGTCAAATATTTTGAGGAAATTATCTGTCCAACTCACTTGTACTTAAAGAGAGAATTCTCCTTGCTTACCTACTCTGCTCCCAGAGGGCAAGTATTGTAAATCTCTAATGAAACTTTCAATGAGTCTGCAGGAGAACGTTGCATATAATTGGGTTCCCTGGGAGGGAAGCCTGACTAAATGCCATTTTGAACAGTAATGATGAGTAATTTTCTTATGCCTAGGTTGTATGCCAGTGATCACTCTGGTAGTTGGTGGGAGTTTGCTCATCCCTACTGAAGCTTCGAATCATACATGAAGATTCCTTGCCGTTGCTAGCACAAAGGTAGACCACAGTGTCTGATGTGTTGGAGTGACCTTGATACTGTTCATTTTGTCTGAAATGCTTTACCAAATAATTCTCCCTCCTCCGTTGCACATTCTTCAACAAATAAATTCATCCCTGTCATTTAAAGTCCAGTTTAAATATCACATCTGTGAAAACTTTCTCAGCCAAGCAGAATTAATTGCTCTATACTCAATAAAATTTTATGCAAATAGCAATTTGATCCCCAAACATATTTTTTGCAATTGTTTTTATGTGAGTATATTTCCCCCACTAGGTCTTAGGATATGAAAAAGGTCCTATTAACCGTGATTAATTGTCATTTACCACAGAACTTGGTCCAGATCAGGTCCCAGTAACATTTGTTAAAAGTGCATTATATAATGTGTTGAAGACTCAAGGGGTGGGAAATGTACCTAATTTTTTTGGTTATTATTAATTATTTTCAAAATAATTTTTATTTGTTCTTTTTAGAAATATATAACAGTAGGATGTATTTTGATATATTTTACATACATGGAGTATAACTTCCCATTTTTGTGGTTGTACACAATGTGGAGTTTCACTGGTTGTATATTTACATAGGAATATAGGAAAGTTATGTCCAATTCATTCTACTGTCTTTCTTATTCGCATCCCCTTCCCTTCCCTCATTCCCCTTTGTCTAATCCAACGAACTTATTATTCTTCCCTACGCCCTCCTTATTGTGTGTTAGCATCCACATATCAGAGAGAGAACATTTAGCCTTTGGTTTTTTGGGGATTGGCTTACTTCACTCAGCAAAAATATGGAGCATCTCACAAATCTGCGGCCATTCTTGCACAGGGGCTATGCCAATCTTCTCTGTATCATTCCAGTTTTAGTATATGTGCTGCCAAAGGGAGCACACACGTACCTAATGTTCTTCTACCCTCTCTACCTGACCCAGTTCTTCTCTTTCAGGCGACTCCACTATTCCCTTACTATAACCTCCTCTATTTTTATCACCACAAATTTCCTTTCTCTTTCTATCCTCTTTTCTGGATTGTTTGAGGTTCTTTAATATTTTATCATGTTTATTCAATCTAAAAATAGGAATCTCTGCTTCCAGCCATGACAATCAATTTGTACTGAATTAGCCCCTTTTCTTAACAAATATAAAACCAAGCAAATGTTTGGACAGTAAGCAGTATAAGATTGCTGTTCTAGATGGAAAGGAAACTTATGAGCTAGACTCTTGATTTCTTTGGTTCTAGAACTTGGCGGAATTTTCTGACCACAGCAGTGAGCTGAAGCCGAAGTAGTGAATGACAGTCATATGAAGCAGAGGAAGCCGAGATCTGAGTTTAGCACTGCCTAGAACCATAAGGAAAGCTACCGGGTGGAAGAAGGATAGAGAGGAGAGCCAGATGTCTGGCTATGGCTCCCATCAGTCTTGGCAGAGCCTGGGCTGAGTAACAAGGAGTGAGCACACCAGAGAGCTGATACCGTTAGTCTGGAAACAGAAACAACATGTTTGAGGTCAGGGCAACTTTCTGAGCCAGAAAGGAAGTACTTTATCTACACCCCACAAATTCAATTGAGGCATCTAAAAGGTCACACTTTATAAGTGAAGACCTTGGCCAAGAGCAGGCCTTCTTTACAGGTTCCCTACCAGTGTGTAAGTTCGAATCTTAAAAAGACTTACAGGAATAGCTGGGCGCAGTGGTACACACCTGTAATGCCAGCGGCTCCAGAAGCTGAAGCAGGAGGATCTCGAGTTCAAAGCCAACCTCATCAATGACAAGGTGCTAAACTACTCAGTGAGGCCCTGTCTCTAAATACAATACAAACTAGGGCTGGGGACGTGGTTCAGTGGTTGAGTGGCCTGAGTTCAATCCCCGGTACCTCCCCCCACCAAAAAAAGACTTGCAGAAATGATATAGCTTGGAGATTGAGACCCACCAAATCAGAGGGCCATGGGAAACACCTAGAAAGTTTCACAAATACACCTTTAATATTTTAAAAATAAAAGCCTACATCAGTACAAAGTAATTGGTCAGATTTAAAGCAAAAATAATAGTAAGGTAGAGTTTATAATATAGAGAGAAAGAAAAGATATAACTAAAATAGCAAAGAGAAAGGGACAGGTTAAATTACACTATCACGAGATTATTACATTTGTAAAGTGGGAAGGGGAGATTGTGGAATATGAAGTGTTCCATGTGAAAAATGAAGTACAAGGTGTAAAGTTTAAATCCACAGCATTATTAAATCTAACCAAACCAAACCAAAGAGGTATTATTAAAAATCCATTAAAGGAAATAATATGTATTATTATGTATTATGTATTATAATGTATAATATAATGTATTAATAAAATACTCTGTAGATAAACAAACAAAAACAATAGGAAATAGTAACAGAAGAGGCATGGGAAAAAAATCATGATGGCATGCTAAATCCAATCATATCAACAATCACTGTACCAACCAACTTAACCTAATTGGCCATTGAAGAATACCACTCTCATAAATAGCAGACTACTCAGGTTTCCAAGTGCACATGAAATGTACAGCAACATGGGTGAAGTGCTAGACTGTAACACAGGTTTCAGTAAATTTCAAATAATTGAAAACTTAAAAGGTTTTCTTTAAATGGATAAAATTGAATTATAAATCAGTAAGATGTTTTGAAAAACTACAAATACTTGGAATTTAAAAAACAGATTATAAATAATTCATAGATCAAAGAAGAAATCACAAGGGCATTAGAAAATGCTAAAAGCTGTAAATTGATGAAGATTATCAAAATCTGGGATATGAAGGAAAACACAGTGCTTAACGACATATTAGTTTTATTTCATCTAGAGAAACCAGAAGAAAAGCAAACATAGCCAATAATTAAAAGAAAAATAACATAGATAAGAACAAAAGTCAATTAAATAGAAAACAAAATCAACAGAGAAAATTAACCATGCCAAAAATTTTTTTAAAAAATAAAAAATCTGAAAAAAAAACCCCATTAAAATCAAAAGAATTGTATCAACATTGATGAAGGAAAAAACAGAATGAATACAAACTATTATTTTTGAGAATGAAAGAGGAAGTATCACTACAAAATCTCTAAGACTTTAAAAGAAAAGAGACTATGATTTTAAAAACTGCAAATAAATTTGACAACATAGATAAAATAGAAAAATTTTTTCAAAGTTACAAATTGCCATGGTTGACTCCAGAAAAAAACAGAAAGCCTCTGTAGCCTCTATCAATCAAAGAAATTATATTTACAATTTTAAACCTTCCTGCAAAGAAAACCATATGCTCATTTACCTTCACTTATGAAATCCTATAAAAAAACAAAGGAAACGTTTATACTATACATACTTAGAAAATGGCGGGGAAGGTGAGACGACACCACCTACTGCATTTTTAAGACTAAATATTACTCCATAATAAAACCAAAGATATAACAAAAGAAAAAACTACAGAAAAATATGTCTCATAACCATAGATGCAAGAATCCTTAACAAAATTTAACTTAACAAATGCAGAGGGACATAAAAATTACAATGTGTCATAACCAAGTAGAGTTTATCCTTGGCATGCATAATCGTTTTGATATTTGAAAATTAATCAACATAATGTGCCATATTAATAAGATTTAAAAAAGACTTGTGATAACAACAGAAGATGCAGAAAAATCATTGAAAAATTAAAAACCCATCCTGATAAAAACTCTCAGCAAGTACAAATAGAATGGAACTTCTCAACCTGATAAAAGGTATCTATGAAAAGACCACCATCATGCTTAGACAGCAAAGGAGTAAATGTTTTCCTCCAAGATTAAGAAATGGGCCAATGTGATCAGTCTCATTCTTCCTATTTAACACTGTACAGAAAGTCCCTAGTCATTACTATAAGACAAAGAGAAAGACAGAGAAAGGAAAAAATAACACTGTCCTTATTCACAGTTATGATCTTATCTGTAAAATATACTAAAGAATCTAATAAAAATCTATCAGAATAACTAAGTTTAGTGAGGATACAGTATATACAGTATACAATAGACGAATATGTGAACATTAATTTAAGTGGCATATGTTAGCCAAACTGGACTATAAAATTTCATATGCTATCTATAACAGCATAAAACACAAAGTTCAGTGGGAATGCAAACGCTCTATGCTAAAAGCTTTAAGACACTGCAGGAAGAGATTAGAGAAAATCTGAAGAAATGGAGAGGTAAAACATGATCATGGATGGCAAGACTCAATTTGAGAAGTTATTTGTTCCTAAATCGATGTAAAATTTCAATGAAATTCCCAACAGGTTTAGGGAGGTGGGGCAAATTGAAAAGCTGCTTCTAAATATGTATGGAAATGCAGAGGATCTAGGATAGCCAAAACAATTTGGAAAAAATAAAAGGATCAATAATGTGGAAGTTTTAAACTCTCAGATTTTAAGATACACCTTAAAAGTAGATAATTTTAAGAAATGTAGTATCCTTTTGTTAGAAGGATAAATATATACATCAGTGGGATTGAACAGAGATTTTAGAAGCACACACATGTATGTGGGTAAGTGATTTTCAACAATAATGCAAAGGCAATTCAGTGGGGGAGAAAGAGAAGAATCTTTTCACCAAATGGTACCTCATCAGTTAAATACCATTTGCTAATGAAACAGGCTTGGATATATAACTTACATAAAATTGGAAAATCAAATAAAAATGAGTCATTAGACATAAAACCTCAAACATAAACTTTGTAGAGGAATGCATGGAGAAAGTCTTCCTAACTTTGGCAGGCAACATTTCTTACACACAATACAAAACCCAGTAAACATAACAGGGAAAAGAAAAAGGATCTATTGGACTTCTGCTCTTCAAATGATAACATTCAGAGAAAGAAAAGGTTAGCCACTGTGAGCAAATAGCCGCCATACATTTATCTGATGAAGGACCGACTTCCATCCAGAATATATAACATATGACTCAATAATAAGAAAACAACACAAACAAAAATGAGCAAAATGGTTCCTATTAATGGACCCCTGACAAAAGGAAGTACATGAATTGTCAAAAAGTCCATGGAAAGGTACTCAGCACTATTAGTCACATGAGAAATGCAAATAAAAACCACAAGATTCTTCCACACAATGACTAGAGGCTGATAATAAACAGACTGACAATATCAAGAAGTGGCCAAGATGTGGCAAAGTGGAATTCTCATTCATTTAGAATATATGAAATGATATAAAAACTTTGGGAAAAATTCTATTCCTAAGCAACTCCTTAACTGAAAAATCCACAAAACACTTGCACATCAATCTTCATAGCAACTTTTTTCAAAATAGTGGAAAAGTGGACACTACTCAACTAGTCTACAAACAGGTAAATGGGTAATCAAATTATCATACATCCATGTAATTGAAGGCTATAAGCAATAAAAAGAACTACTAATAAATCAAACATGAAAAAAATTTGAGTGCATTACACTAAATGAAAGAAGCCAGACCCAAAAGGGTATATACAGAGTGTGCCCACACATGTTTGCTTTTGAACAGTTAAAACTAATCTACAGTGACAGGAAGAAGGTCTGCAGCAGCTGGAATGGAGGATGTGACGGAGGTGACTGACCAAACAGACACTAGGAAATTTTCTTGGGTGATAGTATGTTCTTGAATGGAGAGGTGGTTAAATGTGTCTACACATTTGTTATAATGATGGATAAGTTTTGTTTTGTGAAATTACAGAATAAAAAATCTCTGTTATATTAAAAGTTTAAAAGGTTTGTGTAAAGATTCAGGTCTCTAGAGGAAATCTAATACATAATTCAGATATCCAGTGAGTAAAAAATAAAATTAAAATAGAGAAAATATTCATTTGAAGAGGCATCTACTGTCAATATTAAATAATAGACTATTTA